TGTGTGTGTGTGTGTGTGTGTGTGTGTGTGTGTGTGTGTGTGTGTGTGTGTGTGTGTGTGTGTGTGTGTGTCCACTTTCCTCTCGCCTAACAACGCTGCATAGTCTGACTGCCACCAGTGTGCTCTCTTTGGCCACCACCAAGCAAGTCCGCCTGTCCCCACCACTGTCCTTCTCCCCTCATCAACCCAGCCCCAGCGCCTCCCTTCTTCCGCCTCAGCGCAGCTATCGCTGCCGCTAAGCGAAGCAGCTATCCCGTGGCTACTCCTTCCCTTCTTCGCCAATGAGCGTCGGCCTGTTCGCATGCCCTCTCCACAGAGCTAGCACTGGCGGCCAGTGTGTCTGAATGTGTCGAATGCTGCAGACTCCTCCCTCTCATCATTTTGTGAAGGTTGTGTCTACCTGGACTTGAACTGAGCTCTTCCCAGACAGAGAACCTTCCGGGTTGAGGTCCAGCGCCCCGAGCTCTGCAACTAACGTGGAGGCTGCACATACCGGTTATGTGGAGAGCCCGCACCAAGCCTTCCTTCCTTCAACTGGCGCCAGCCTTTGCTCAGGGCTGATGGACCCTTCTTCTGCCATGGCCTTCACTTAGGGCCAGAGTTGATTTTTCTGTGCAGCCCCCGGTAGAGACTTTTCTCCTTCTTCTGCCCGGCAGTTTGCTCAGGGCTGACGGACCCTTCTTTTGGCATTTTTGTAACTTTCAGCTTCCTTCTTTTTTTTTTTTTTTTCAAAAAGGTTACCCGGGTTTGCTAGGGGCGCTGGTAAGGGCAGACACCCCTAGCAACCCTGTGGCTGGCTTCAGTTTCCTCCTTTCTATTGGAAGGGAGATGCACCTGGGGCACTAGACATCCTTCCTTCCTGCTTCCCCTGCATTAACCTTCTCCTCCCCCTTTTTTTTTTTTTTTTGTAATTCGGACCATTTGTCGATTTATATGTGTCACCCTTGCACAGGAAGCAAGAAGCAAACATTCAGCATACACACAAGTATCAGAGACACTTGAACAAAGTTGTATAGAGCATCAACATGGTTAACACTCTGAGAGACAAACTCTCGAATAGAACAACGCGCAACCATCGCTCCACATCCCCAGGAACTGCTAAACCTTCCGTCAAACAAACCGCGTCGGCATCGGGTCGTAGGCCTGCGCGCAAGCGCTCAGTCTCACGAGCCGATGCCAACAGGACCGAACCCGACTTTAGTGCCAGGATTTAAAAGCTGCATCATCGTCAATATCCTGTCCACTTTGTCCTACATGGCCACATTCATACTCACAGTCGTTAACACTTGCCGTTTCGAGTTTAGGTACCTTGCTTACAATTTAGTAATACCTACGGACATTGTCAAAGTTACGACTCCTAACGTACCGGCCAATCTCATATTCGAATCTGTCACTCACAGAAGACCTCTGGTTTACTCCCAGCCTACTACTAATCCTCAGTACACGAGATCAAATCCTACCCGAAACATCAAAAACAAAACAGCAGAAAAACTAAGAATCGTAAAAACAGAAACAGAAACAAACAGAAACAAACAAACAACCGGTCCCGGGATCAAGTCCCATACCATCCCTATGTCTGTGAAGAATTCACACTCCAAGGCTGTGGGCGGCACCCTGGTCCGTACAATTTTGGGCCCATGCTAATTCCTCGTCTCTGCATTGTTCCAATCTTGGCGAATGTTGTGAAGGACACATTAACCTTCTGCCTTTATGCTTACTCCCTAAACAACTGAATATCAAATCCTGAAGGATAAAATTATGTTCGAGGACCGTCTTCACCCAAATACGACGTACAGTGACTACAGTCACTATTGCTGTGTCTAGACTCAAAGTTGCCCCCAACACAGCTACAATTACCGTACGTTGCCCGAAAAAAAAAAAAAAAAAAAAAAAAAAAACGTACGTTGTATCGGGTGAAGACGGTAGGCCCATTCAAACCACCCATACTTTTTGACCCTTCTCTTGCCGAGCCTGGTAATGCCCTGCACGGCAAAAAGAAAGCCGAACTGGCGTGGGCCTCCTTTTGGCTGGTGCTGCCCGCATTTTGCTCCAGCCGTATGTGGCCGAAACTTGCAGCCGCATGCGCGCCACGTCGGAGAATAGTAGCTGGCAAACATACTGGTGTTTTTTTTTTTTTTTTTTTAAGCCCAGGGTGTTGTAGAGGCCAAGGACCTGACCTGCGGTCCCACGTGGTCGCTGCCAGCTGGTGGTTTAAACAGGGGGAGAAAGGAAAAAGAAAAGGACGGGCAGATCTTGAGGGAAAAGGGAGGCAGAGGGAGCGATCACAGACGAAGGAGATCGGAGATGAAAGGCAAGAGTGGTCGGTGGAGAGGGAAAAGGAGAGGAAGGGAGGCAGTCAGGGGAAAGAGGCCAGTGTAAGGACCTGCGGAACACGGACTGAGAACACAGCTGATTTCTGAGTTTTGTCGCTGGAATGCATGCCCTGCTGAGATATCTGCTTTCTGCTGAGTTTTCTAAGTCTGTGTGTGTGCGTGCTTGCTGGTCTGCGCTCCTGTCTGAGTGCTTGACGGCCTGAGTGTGTGTGTGTGAACCGCAAGGGTACTTGCTTGCTTGGGAGGCCCTGTCGGGCCGGTACTTACCTGAGGCCGTGACATTGAGAGTTGCAGTGGGAAAACACTCAAGTAGTAGGTAGGCCGGTACCACTCAAGTAGCAGTAGATGTGTCGGGGACAGGAGGCCGAGCAGAAGAAGACAAAAGTTGGAATTTTTAGAGGCCCAGTAGTTGTAGGGTAGGTCTAGGTAGGTACCAGTCCAAGTTGTCTGAGTCTAGGGCCTGTACGGGCGATACCAGAGTCTGCAATGATGTTTCCCTTTGAAAGGGAGGAGGTACCGGTTGCTTGGAGGCCGCGCGGCCTGAAGTCACCGCCCCAGAGGCAAGTTGGCCTCTATATCTCCAGGAGGAACAAAGTCCTCCTCCTTGCTGCGTGCAAGTTTGGACGTCACGCTGCTGGAGCGCTGGAGGAGCAGCGCTAGTGTGCAGCGCTGTGTGGGGAAGAAGGGTGCCAGCTCCCCACCTTGGGAGTGGTGGGTAACGGAGACCCAAAATTTCAGCAATGAAAACATTTTACCCCGTCAACCACTGGTGCACCTTGGCTATGGTGGAGGAGCTCAGGTAGGAGGAGGAGGAAGAAGGGACTAGGAGAGGGGAGCGCCAGGGGTACTTAACTGGCTATGGTGGATGCCATCTTCATCACCTTGGTGGACGCTGCATCTGGAAGGCCCCCGTTGGAGTAGAGCTACACCAAGAAGCTTCGAAGCAGGGTCAGGCACGGCGGCCTGAGTGTAAGCAGCCATAGCTGCTCAGTGTTGTCTTTTGCACATCAGGGCAGGGCCCTAGTAGTCCGCCATAGCCTTGGCCTATGAAGAGGAAGGAGGAGAACGGCCATGGCTATGGTGGACCTCATGTTGTGCCTGGAGTAGAAGAGGGATTCAGACATTGATTCTGGTTCTGCCATTCATCATCATTATTATTATTTATTGTTTGAATAAGAGGGGAGTGCAAGGAAAATGAACAGAAGCGAGATGACAATATTCAGATTTGAAATCAAACTCGATTATTCAACTTGTCATGTATGCAAACAGCGAAACAGCAAATTGGCGACAGGCGCCCACTCAGTACTCAAGATATCGTATCCACATAAGAGTTCTCTTCAAACTGGCTATGGCGACTGAGCGCCCACACAACTCACTGTTCGCACTCTGGATCACCCTGGATGTCCCACACGCAACACTCAGTATCACACTTCACACACACACATG